TATATATTTTTGATTACTTACTGGAGGTAGAAAAAACATCTAAAAATAATGGGGATCACAAGGAAATGTGTGTAAAGCAGCAGCATGGATGAATCTATTTTAACAAATACTTTGGAGGTGTGGAAACTTGCTTTTTAGTAGTTATGGTGATGCTAACACTTGAAGTAATTCCAATATACTATAAAATACTTAATGTTGGGGCATTCCATGGCAGAGAATCTCTCTGAATCATCTCAGTCAAGCTTAAAATACTAATTGCCTTCTAAATGAATTGGGAACTGAGACTGAAATGTTAATTGTGACTTCAGGCTATAGTGTCCTATGCAGTGCCTAAATCAACAGTGCCTGAAAGTGAAGCCTCAGGCTTATTTGAAGCTTCTATAATAATACAAATAAGACAGTCTGAACTAGTCTTGGTCATCTTTTGAAGACAATAAGTTTTTTATGCTGATTAGGATTTATTTTTCTGGCTGTAATACCTTGATGACAGTTCTTAAGTTTTGACAGTTTATCTTGCTGTATGCCTGACTAGGACTGGCCTGTTTTGTTTCATTAGTATTTTACTGTCGCATTAGGAAAATACAGTGGAATGTATATGCTTCATCCCATAAACTGCTCATTCTGAGGCAAACTAATGATCCCTTCGTTTTATGTAAAATAAAAAAGCCCCACATCTATATTTAGGTAACTTGCTCACAAGATAACGGCAAGATATTCTTACTCAGTGGGCAGCACAGTGAGTTGGCAGTGATGGTGTTTCACATGACTGATAATGCAGAAGTTTCTCTTGGTTGTGCTGTGGGTAGGACAAAGAATCGTGATGAAGAGGGAACAAGATAGAGATAGGTATTTTGGGGATACTGTGAACTATCAGAAGAGCTGCTTAAAAATAACCACTACTGCATGCCTGTGGTATTTTGGAAAAGGGGAATTGATAAGTGGTAGAAAGGATTCTGTTTATTTAAAGATTTACTACTATTTCCAAACTCATTTAAAAGCTACAAGGAATTTCACTTTGTCCAGAGATAACTTTAAGAGAACTATATGTACACTTACGTTATGGGAGGTGATTCTGCCCCTCTGCTCTGGTGAGACCCCACCTGGAGCACTGCGTCCAGCTCTGGAGCCCTCAGCATAAGAAAGACACAGACCTGTTGGAGCGGGTCCAGAAGAGGGCCACAAAAATGATCAGGGGGATGGAACACCCCTCCTGTGAAGAAAGGCTGAGAGAGTTGGGCTTGTTCAGCCTAGAGAAGAGGCGGCTTTGGGGAGGCCTTATTGCAGCCTCTCAGTACTTAAAGGGGGCTTATAAAAAAGATGGGGACAAACTTTTTAGCAGGGCCTGTTGCAACAGGACAAGGGGGAATGGAGAGGTGGTGGATGCCCCCTCCCTGGAAACATTCAAGGTCAGGTTGGACGGGGCTCTGAGCAACCTGGTCTAGTTGAAGATGTCCTTGCCCACAGCGGGGGGAGATGACCAGATGACCTTTAGAGGTCCCTTCCAACCCAAACTATTCTATGACTTCAGAGGTAAAAGTACAGAAAGAGTAACCAGTAAACAAAAAAACCTGCTTTCTGTTTCGACAGAAAAGCCATACTGTTTATGATGAAAGGTTAAGGCATAAGGTACAAGGAGAGTCACATGTTTTCCAGCACATGGTTTATAAAGGCAGATTAACACAGCGACTTTGTCATCATCTTCTCTGAAGAAGAGGACACTGCCGCAGATAATACCAGGAGTGCATCTACCCACGGCTACAGTATCGCATCCTATCCCTGAACTGGCAGCTTCTTGTTTGATTCTGGGAAATGGCTGGGCGTGAACTGACTTTTGATCATTAATCATCTAATCATCCACTGTTTTTTCTTTAAAAAAACAAAGAAAGAAAAAAAAAAACACCACCACCAAAAAAAACTCAACAGAATGTTTCAGGTGGAAGAACCTGAGGGGGCTGTGTTAGGCTGTGAGCTGAGCAAGTACAGGATAAAGACGTATAGGGATTACTCTGAGGTGCTTTGACTGGTGGGGCAGATACTGTAGGCAAGATTTGGTAGATGGTTCTCTCAGCTCTCAGTGTCCTTTACAGGAATAGTAGGTGCATATGCACCACAAAGGCAAGAAAAGGACCTTACTGCTTAAATGTTGTTGTGATTCCCAGGAAGAAAAAAAAGTGTATACGCTGAGTGGCTCTCATCTGTGGACACTTACTAAACATCCTAAATTACCAGTAGTTAATTACTAAAAACTTTTAGTAGTTATTTAATAGGAAGTTTCAGTAAAAAAGCCGATTAATCGTTCATTTAGAAAATTCTTCACCCAACACAGGCCAGCTAGTTTGATCTTCATCCTTCAGTGGTGACAGGGTTATGTTTGCGCAAGCAGAGTACAGCCTCACCTAGAAATATGCTTGCTTCTGACTTCAAAAAGGGCAGGTTTTCTAAAATTTTAAGTGTTCGCACAGTTGCCCTGAAACGTTTAAATGAAAAATGATAGCAAAAGCTGGGAACAGACATCCTGTAGAGCATGCTTAGGCAAAAGGACTGTGATTTCACAAGTGTGGAAATAATGTTTTCTTAGTGGGAAGGAATCCTAGTTAAAGGAAATTAAAGCAGCAATTAAAACAAATATTAAGGATAGGAAAAAGGGCAATAAAACGTCCATTAACAAAAGTAAATGTTGATGAATAAGTGACTGAAAAGTGAATTCCAGTGTGGTTAGAGATAAAGCGCTCAATACATTTTGCAATGGAAAAAAAAATCCCAGATCAGATGCAGATTCAGTGACAGATGTGCATGATAAAACTAAATAATATAGTAAAGGAAGGAGTAGCAGTAGTTATTTCTGTTGCAGGTTTCAAATAAAGCAGGTGGATATATCTACCTCATGTAATGCTACAGATGAAATAAAGATGTTTGTCATCTATAAAATAAAAGGATATCAGATGGCATCTGCTAAAATAACCATTCTCAGGCCAATGGGTCATTTGGTTGTCAATTAGATAGACTAGACAAGGAGTTTTCTGAGTTGCTGAAGTTAACAATTAACGGCAGAATTGTTAGTGTCCTGCTAGTGCGGTTCCAGGGGAAGCTCTAGTGAAAAGCCACTTTTTTGCCTTCCTGAAACTTGTGGAGGCTCCACAGGAACAGTTGCTGGCGTACTCCATGCACTGTTGTCCTCAGCACTCGTCTCCCTGGCGGATGCTCTCTTTCTGCGTGGAGTTGATAATTTCCAAACTGAAATGACTGGGTGTCTCTCTGCACCCTGGGTGCTGCCGTCTTGGCTCAGGGTCTCGTTTGAACTCGATGATGAGCTTGCAATCTCCTTCCTCCCCCCACTCCATTTGGTTCTGGGAGACAGTAACTGCTTGGGTGTTTCCCAAGTCCTTCCTGTGTTATCTTAATAGAACCAAGCTATTTTAATCTTTTCTACATCTTTGCGGCTGACCAAAGTCTGTCCACAGGCCAACTTATCTTGTCTTCATCTCTAAATACATTTCTATTTGTGATCAGCATTTGTGTGCTGTTTTGTTGTTTGTTTTTTTTTTTTTAACTCTGCCTTGAGCATTGAGTAATCAACACCTTGGTGTGTCTGCCAGAGCATCCTCACACAGCTAGTATTCCTTACTTCTGCCATTCATGTTACGGGCAGCAACCTCCCATGGGACCCATGCTGACAGCTTTTCTTTCTGGTGACTATCACAGTTGGAGGTGGTGAGTCTGAAGAGTCGCCCTCCATCCCTGCTTTCTTGTGATTCAAAGTTGGGAAAAGAAAAGATCAGTCGTAACTGTCCCTTGCACAGGGAAGCAGAGGGCAGCTATATGGGGAAGTGTGTAGCCCTGACAGATGTTGGCTGCACAAAATCAGGTGTTGATCAGCACAGTGAGATCTCTGCTGGCTGCGACAGCTTGGGGGCAAGGGTTTCTGGATTTGCTTTTTGTTTTGTAGGGTAGCTAATCACTTTTGGCTCATATCACAATAAGCCTGTGGCATCCCAGCATCTTTTTGCAGGCCTTGAACACAGATTATGTGAATTTAGACATGGCTTTAGTGTAATTGGCAATTATCAGATATTTTTAAGGATTAAAAGTAGGAGCGCAGGGATGTGCTGTGTTTCTATGTAACTTTACCAAAACTCCAGGCTGTTTCCTCTAGTCTCTGTTTTCTTCTTTATCTTTCCCTACCCCCTTTTTTATTTTCTTCTATAATTGCGTTTCTTAAATCTCTACTGAAGTTGTCAAGGCTAGTTAGAGGAAGAAGGTTGTGTGCCTGTCTCATGCAATTTCTGTGTTGCAAATACAGCTGAAGCTAATGAAAAGAGACCTCTATAATCATTGTACAGCAGCAGAACAAGGTTATATTTTATAGCTTTGACAGCTACGTGGAAGGTGTGTGTCTCCGGGGGATGGGAGTTTTTAATGACAAAAGATGCTGCTTTCTTGTTTTTAAGAAGAATTATTGGACAGAACAGTTACAATATTGCCATCACTGATGCAGTAGTTTAGCATATGCATTGAGAGACAACCCTGTATATATACATGCATCTAAAATTTCAGACAGAAAGCTCCAGCCTGAGTACCATATCTGCAACAAGTCCTGGTGCTATGAGATAGAGGAGAGCAAAACGGCTCTGATCTTTCTTTATCCTTCTGGCACACAGTACAAATGTTGCACTATACATGCACATAGCAATAAGGGACTAGATTTATCAAACTTTGCTGTCAGGCAAATTCTGATGGACAAGAATAACATAAATACTCCAAAGGTATTGTGGCTTTTGCTCGCTGTGAGCGAGCGTTGTATCAATACCAGCATAGATAAAACACTGCAGAGTTATGAGTCCACTGCGGAAAAGCCTATCACTGTTGTCACCTTCAGACTACCCACTACTGTTTTCAGTGTTTCTGATACCAAGTAGACCATTTATTGTAGGGTAAAACAGAAAGCTCTTTACATAAATAAAGTATGGTATGTTTATCGACTGTACATATTTTAATTTTAGGTCCTTAGAAGAACACCATGGTCATCCTAACGTGGTAATGGGAGATCTTCAGTCAGATGAAGACGATATCATGAACAGTTCTGATGAAGATGATGACACAAATTCTGATTCCAGCAAAGGGGAACCTGATCCTCAAGAATATAAACAGGTATCTTTTTATCTTTATCTTCTGAAGCTATTACTCACTCTTGCACTATTTTGTAAGTTGTAACCTGTTGGGATATTGTCAAATAAAAGGCATTGAGTAAACATAACTTTATATATTTCTTTTTGTCATTCTTATTGTTTAGTGTTTTTTTTCTAAAATTTTAATTTAATACGTGTATGTTAGCCTGATATTAAGAGGTCAAGTTTAGAAATAGCCCACTACAAAGTGTGTGTTGCCTGGCATATTTGTTCTTAATCTTTTACTGAATCATGGAGCTGTAGACCTGCCTACCATGCCCCTCTAACAGAGCTACATGCACAGATGTATGTTTAGAGATCTTTGGTTTTGAGACTTGTAAATACCTTTTAATGAGGCTGTCTGTGACTCAGATCCTAGAGTGTACAGTGTCTCTTGTGCACTGAACATTTAAAATCAACCTTTGATTTGTTAGCCTTGGTGAAGCCCAAGGAAAGGGGCCAGGTGAAGGTTGCAAGGTCTGAGAAGGTCCTTCTGGAAAATATCTCGGAAGCTGTAGTTTTGCCTGGATGGTCCTGTTTTGGGGGCCTCTGCCATGCAGCAAAGGCTGTGTCCCAGTAACCGTTTCTGTGCAGACAGCTTTCTTGCGTTTGCAGGTTCTGCATGCTAACCTGCCAAATCACTGCTTGGTGCACAGGGGACAGATGACTGAACCAGTTTTTAATTCTTCCTTTTCGATGGCATGAAACCTGCCTTTCAGCATTTAAGTTCCTTAATTCACTTCTTTGGTGCTGAGGAGAGACTATTGGTATGTGCGCAAGAGACCTGTCGTTGTAGGGTTGCAGAGCCACCTCTGTGGCCCTTGGAGGAGCGTAAGCCATACTTGACTGTTGTGGTTGAGGTCTGACCTTCTGCTAGCTTCTGCGAGTGCCAGCTTGGAATGATTTCCCTTATTTTAACCTTATTTCTCCTTTAGATGAGGAGCAGGAAGACAGTACTAACAACTTAGAATGAAATCGAGTACTGGGGGTCCTATCCCTCTCCTTGGGGATACCTGCTTTCTTATTTCTCAGTCCTGGATGCTCTGGCACCAGCCTGCCCATAGACCAGTGCCTCTCCTCAGCACCAATCCTGGCAGCTTTGTTTCCTTTGATAGTAGTTATATTTGCTTCCTCTCCATAAAAATGAATAATAATTAAAAAAAAAAAAGGCAGTGAGACTTTTTAGGGCTGGAAGAGAAGACTCAATGGTGATGTGTCAGACCTGAATGTCATTTAACTAAATCTTCTGAGGAATAAATTGGGGGAGGGAAAGAGAGTTGAGGGAAAAGCTTGTTCCTGTGCAACTAAGCAGGACTGTACCCGTGTAGAAGCTACCTTACCTTGTGTGCCTCTAGGAATGCCCTCAACCTTTCACGATGGAGTTTTACAGGAAAGAGTCCCTGTTACGAGGCTTCTTGGGCAGGTTTTGCCGAGTGATTCAGTGCTTGCTTGAGCCGCCTGCGGCATATGCGGCTGGCAGCTGGGGATTAACAACCAACTTCCTAACAGGGAGAGCAGCTGCAGAGGAGAATGAAGCAGTCACTGCATCGGTCATCAGCTGGGCTTGTTTTTATTTTCCCTTACCCCAAGCATCTGGCTGTTTTGATGCCTTTTATCCGTTAGAGGAGTTACAAGGCTCCTTCCCAATGCCACGCCTGAGAGCCCAATTTGTATCCCTTCGGTTCTCCCATTAGAGACTCTCTTAGGCCCAGAGTATCTTTGAGCAAATGCAAAGTGGCCTTTTCAGTGCCAGTTGGTATGTGAAAAGTCTTTCATATGGGGTTGAAAACAGACTGTGATATTTCATTTTGTAATTGTTTAGTGTTAGCATCTTGTTCTCAAAATACTAATTTTCATCTCATTTGCAACCGTCACATCTACAGTGATGGCAGATACCTTGCTCTGCATAATTGAGTTACTTGTGAATTCAGTCTTGTAGGGAGCGTGTCAGCTGTGCTTTCTAAAAAGGCATCGAGGCCTGAGGATGGGTGTTAGAATCTCGCCTGAATCCGATTGACCCTCACTGGGTAGATCTCAGTGTTTTCTGGAAATAAGTTTAATTTTAGAAGTAAAATCCCAGCTCTGTGTGAAGCTGTCTGTGTAGTATATAAAATAAATAATGTATCTTGCATATATGTGATGCAACACCCAATTATTAAATTTAGAAATTAATTTTAATTTAGTAATTCAGCACTGTGTCAATTCAAATGAAAAAAAAATTTAGATTTATTTCTTATTTTGAGTATAACAATATCATTAAAACCAACCTATGAGTATCATCAGTTCCATGGTTTGATTTCTAGCACCTGAGACTTGTTTAGAGGTTCGGAGAAGACCTAAAACTCCACATGAATCTTGCAACATTAGTGCTTCTGACCCAAAAGTTCATATATGCAATGCCACCGATACCTGCTTTTCCAGATAAACTGTTCAATGCCTATATTATACTACCATACTCAAGACAGTCTCCCCAGGACTTCCATCGCACTTGTGTTGTATATCCTGTGATGTTTTAGTGCTCCTCATCCACGCTCTTTCTTTGCAGCCCATTGAAATGAAAGCCTGAATATCTAATAGATGTGGTGACAGCTGGCAGGAGAGAAGCATATGGCAAACCATGAGAGCTGTTATGGAGAAAGGTGTTTTATCTGAGGGAAATTATACACGGGAGTTACACTGAGTCGAAAACATTTGCATCCTGACACCTACCCCCTTTTGCTTTGCTATACCTGTTCCTTATATCTGATGTTGAACAGTAGCATTGATTTTTTGGAAGCCAAATGTGTGCACATAAAAAACATCATCTCCACAGTGTTTCAGGTAGATGACAAGGCTCGCACTTCTACAGCTTTGCAGTACGGTTGCTATGTTTTTCAGCAACTCCTTTAGTAGACGGTCAGAAGCTGACTTCTCTTCAGTGTGATATTTTTCTCCTTTCATCTTCTTTTTCAGTAAAGAAAATGTGGGTTGTTTGTGGTTTTTTTTTAAGATGTTCCTGAAACCCGTTTGAGTTTACTGCAAATATTACTGTTGCTGTATTAATCAGAAAAAAAATTAATAATATACAGATATTATCCGTACTTTACTACTTTCTCTAACCAATAATTGTCACTTGCTAGGGCTTCATTTGTTATGGGCTTCAATACTTCCTGTAATAAGTAAATAGAAAGGCTGATAGTGTTATAAAAACTACTCTTAGCTAACATTGTTGTTTCCAGCTACAAGCTGAATTGATTTTCTCACAGATCCTGAAAAGCCAGAAGATCTCAAAGCCAGGAGATTACAAAGCAGTATAAAACACTTTTATTAGAAATAACTATAGAATAATTACATTGTATTTGAGGAACTACTAGCCTGAAATGATCTTTATGACAGTTTTAGTAGATGCATAGTATAACATACAATTTTATTTGCAGAGTAAGGCAGCTGGAAAGAAAACAAAGGTTTACCATATTGCCAAGGAGATCATGAGCTCGGAGAAAGTGTAAGTGTCAATGCTAAACTTAACAGCTACTCAGCTTATTTTAATTGGGCAATTAAAATGTAACTATTTGCTTTTTCTTGCTTTTCTGATAGGTTTGTGGATGTGCTAAAGCTCTTACACATTGTAAGTATCAGAAAAAAAAAAGCTTCCTCTTCTATGTTTAATCTGTTAAAGTTCTATGTTTAGGCTTTATTGTAGTGAATGTGACTTTTTTCTGCTGTGTCTACATATTCAAAATATAAAAATCTAATTAAGCAGAAGTTTAAAGTTTCAGATTTTATATAATGGATGAATATTTTGGTGGTTCCTTCTCCATCTCCTTAATTAATGTATGCGGTCTTCCAGCTGAGTGGGGGTATTGCTTGAATATTGAAAATGGAATATATATCCATTTATGTTAATCAGCATCATATTTATAAGCCAGCTTGTACCATAGCAACCAAAATAAAATCTTTGGTTAGAATAACTTTTAAAGGAAGGGGGGGAGGTGGGAACAGTTTACCTTTAGAAATAGTAAATAAAAACACACATTCTTTCGGTAATCTAACTAATTAGCTCTAACGTTGGATCCATCACCATGGCAGCATATTTTTTTGGGCTGCAATTCTTTGACAGATGCTTGCTTTGTTAATCAGCATCATATTTATAAGCCAGCTTGTACCATAGCAACCAAAATAAAATCTTTGGTTAGAATAACTTTTAAAGGAAGGGGGGGAGGTGGTTACCTTTTACCTTTAGAAATAGTAAATAAAAACACACATTCTTTCGGTAATCTAACCTCTAACGTTGGATCCATCACCATGGCAGCATATTTTTTTGGGCTGCAATTCTTTGACAGATTTGCTTTCTGGCTCTAACGTTGGATCCATCACCATGGCAGCATATTTTTTTGGGCTGCAATTCTTTGACAGATGCTTGCTTTCTGATAGCAGCTGTGATTGTAGTATACGCAATGTGCTGTTCACAGCAAGGGTTAAGTATTTAATCCATGCTTATGCAGACCAGTCGTCTGTTAAACATGCTGTGTAGAGGGTGATAATAGCAAATTAATGAAGAATTTAGTTTTCTCTAGCTCCATTTTATGTGTTTTCTGTCAGCTTCTAAGTGATATGTGTTTGTACCGTTTTGTCACTCTATTAAGTGCAAGCATAGTAATTTTTTTTTCCTTGGGCAATAGAAGTGGTTATATTGCAAACAGATGCGTTAGTCTATCTTAGTCTCTTGAGAAGCATGTTCTGTAAAACTGGAAACAAAGGCTCTTATAGATGGATGTATATAGTCCTGTAATATGGAGATCTTTCAGGAAACAAAAAACTTACCACATCACTTGCTGATTCCTCTTTTGCCTTCCATTTTAGTAATTGATTTTCTTATTCTGTTGAGGCTTGGTTTTTAATAGCTGGGTCAGGCAGTGGCGGCCAATGTATAATTTATATTGAACATGGTTTCTAGTACAGAACTCAAGCTTAAATACTGGTTAAAGGAAGAAACAAGTTTTAAGCTATATGATTTTTAATTATCATATTTTTCAGGCACATAACTTATATCTTAAAGGTGTCTTCGCTTTTTCAGTGTACCAGTTCTTCAGGTAACATGCGCAGTACTGGAAGCAGAGGCCGTTGGTGCAGAGGATGGAGGCAAGCAGAGGAAGAATGTGGGAGAGGGAAAGTAGTAGGGAGTTTAGGAAGTTTCTGGGGTAAACTTCAGGTTGTCTGCACATTGTAAATGTGCAGTGCTGTAGGATGTGTTTTGCTTTGTTTTAATGGATAACTCACAGCTCTATTCATGACAGTATGCTAGTTTCTAGCTGCCAAATAAAAACCCATTAGAAATGCTTTTGTTGGCTAGCAATAACAATTGACATGTATTCAGCCTGGTCTAACGGAGAGGATGCTAGGCTAGGAGTGGAGGAAATACTTTGCCCTCAACTTGTCCGTTGGCCTGCAGTGTGAACCTTGGTGAATGTCCTTGTCAGACTGGGCACCAGTTTTGAAGCTCTGTGTGTGTGTGTGCGTTCTTCATTGAATAAAAATTGCCATACCTGAGAAAGGTTGCAGAAACATGTTGTTTTATTTACAGAGAGTGGTATGCCTGGGGATTTGTGTATGTTTGTCACAGGCATTCTTAAATCTGTTTGTTTAAGCATATATTTCTTATGGATAATATTTAAACGTTGATAAAACTACCCTTTTGATTTTACCTGTACTGAACCACTTTGGCTTCAGTGTCAGGATTACTAACTGCCAGTCAAGCAACCTCTGACAGACTTCTGGAATTAAAACTTAGATTCTCCCCAGTCTGGGCTGTTTTACCCATAGTAAAGATTTGGCTGGTCAGGTGAGGCTCCGTTACACCTTCTGAATGTGGTTTTCCGTTAGTGGTTTTCCGAAGAGTAAATACTTGAAATTTAGTGACTAATTCCATTAGTGATGATCTGAAATTAATAGTATTCTCCTCAGTTTGTCTTACCAATGCCAGTTAATGCAGCTCATGGCTCTTCGTACAGCCAGGGAACAGAACTGTTGATGTAAGAAAAAGATTTTTTAAGTTGCTACTGCTTAGAGCATTTGAAGTGGAGTCTAAAGCAGTTGAGAAGGTGGGAATGTGGTTGCAAACTGGTTACGTACCACTGAAAAAGATTTTTTAAGTTGCTACTGCTTAGAGCATTTGAAGTGGAGTCTAAAGCAGTTGAGAAGGTGGGAATGTGGTTGCAAACTGGTTACAAGTACCACTGATTTTTTTTTTTTTAGCATTTTTTTTCTTTTATATTGACAAAGTCAAGTTAGGTGGAGCAACTCTTCCAAGATACCAGGGTGCCAGCCTATTTGGACACTGTTGCACTTTGTAAGTACACCTGGCTGCTTCTGTTGAAGACAGACTACAAAAGTTCTCTAGAAAATGATAAACACTTGGGGACACTTCTGTAATATGAAGTAAGCTGGTCATAACAGAGATAAGGGACTTAACTGGCTTTGCACGCTGATGCTCTCTCAAACATACTCGGTGAATGGGGTTGCTTGAGGGAAGAATCAAACATTAGATGTAATCCTGAATTCTCTGTATTTCTGTAACTATTGTAACGATCTTTTAGAGGACAAGATTCCAGTAAAATGCTGTTAGAAACTCCTGAAAACAAAGGGGCTTAAATCAAACCAGCTCATCTGTATGCATCTTTGTGAGATGGTTCATGCATGGCCTCCAGAGAGTAAACAAGGATTGAGAAGATGTGAGAAGTGCTGTTTCTTCCCTAAGGGCACTTGCAGGGGAAAAAAAAAAAAAAGAAAAGGAACGGTGAACTGGATGTAAAACATAAGTGATGTAAGAGAAACAAGTTTGTCACCGCTCTCTGAGATGCTCTGTGCCCAAAAAACACCTGGCGTTCCTGGAAAAGGAGTAAGGCAGGATTGGTGCCATTTGTACTTCTTTGTTGTGGGATTCTTTGGAAATGGTTTGCTTTGCACAAGTGAGAGGACCTCCTCAGCAGCACCCTGTTGCTGTAAGGGTAAGCTGCCTGGCTTATTTGCTGTCATTTCTTTTGTCCATTTTTGTTCCTAATTTTGTTCTTTTGCCAAAACCCACCACTCTTTTTGATTTTGTTTCCCCTCCTGTGACAGTATGGGCAGTGAGGCTTCTGGTCCAGCAGAGGAACTTGCTTTTTGGGATGGCTCCTTCGTTTGCAAGGCTTAGTGTATGACGTTGTGCTGTGTGAGCAAAGAAAAACTTAACCCTTTGGGCATTTGCCTGAGCCTTTAGATCTGCACATCTGACTTAGACCTCAGTTCTGTCCTTATTAGTACTCTAAGACCAAGCAGGAGGTTGTCAGGAGGCAGCTGTAACTTTTCTGTAGCCACAAGATCAGCTTCTTATTGGAGAAGGCAGAGAAGAGGTCAAACATCTCCCTTCTCCCCCACCCCCCACATTGTGTATCCTTCTGTTGAAGATTATCTTAAGTTTTACTGAATCTTTCTATGTTTGGTTGTGGAATAATCAACTATAAGAACATCTTGATTTTAATAAGTTAGTTTTATGTTAGCGTTACATATGGGTGCTGTGCTACTTGTTATCCGGGGCTGTGTTTCTTGAAGTCCCTATTCTTTGGACTCTAGACCATAACCAGAG